GGTCATACAGGTTTACGCACCAACCTCGGCACATCCCGATGAGGAAGTGGAGGAAGTGTATGAGGATATCTCTAGAGCCATGCATTCCTCCATAATACGGTGTAAAACTAGGCACAAGAGAGAACGGTAAGCTAAAATTAGGTAAATAGTGCCCTTTTAAACTTACTGATTTATATACTCTTTGGTCCTATACAAATAACATCTGTCTGTAAACAAAGAGTATATAATTACTACATTTTGGCTGTAATCTGTAACCAAAAAATTTACCCATCGACCAGTAAGACATCGACATTATTACCATTGTGACGAAAGTTAATAAGCACTACATGCTGATGCGATATATATATATATATATATATATATATATATATATATATATATATAATATATAATATATAAAATTTGTGTCACATTGTTTGTCCGCGATGAACTCTTAAACTACTGAACTGATTTCAATGAAATTTTGCACACTGTGTGCAGTTTGGTCCAACTTGAGAGATAGGATAGTTTTTATCCTGATAAGTGACCCTCAAGTTTTTTATTGCTAATCTTAGGGGTTTTTTTAGGAAAGCAAATGTTCGTCGGAAAGGGCAGGACAACCTCTACCCTGGTATATATATATATGACGAGTTCTTGCGTCTTTTTACGATAGATACTTATTGCATATTCTATTCCCAGGAGAATTACAAATGTTAAGAGCGTGAATATTGTTATCTGTTAAAAAATAGCATATTAGAATAGAAATTTCATTTATATTCGCCAGGGCAATATTCAATTTTGAATAATTCTTGCTCATTAAGTTCATGTTCATCCGTTCATGATAAAAAGCATGTGGCACACTGTATACTCCGCATATGGTTTGTATGTTTTACTCACTTCATGCGTTCGTTCATGACAGAAATGATGTGGCACTCTGTATATTCCGTATATAGTTCGTATATTTTGCTAACTTCATGCGTCCGTTCATGACGGCAATGATGTGGCACTGTATATTCTGTATAAGGTTCCTATGTTTTGCACAATTCATGTGTTCATTCATAACGGAAATGATATGGTACTCTGTATATTACGTATATAGTTTGTATGTTTTGCTTACTTTTTTTATAGAATAAGGATGATAAAAGAGCACACAATCCACCAGATGGTAAGTGGTTGCTGCGGCCCATAGACATCTACATCTACTGCGTTTGCGAATTAAAATGCAGATGCGTTGTCAGCCGTGAGGACCAGCCGTGACATAGAATGCCTCTTTTCCAGTAAAAAGAGTCTCCGGTTCTCTACACTCACCATACGAAACACAGCAGCATTAAGCTGCTATTTTACGCTGGTATTCTGTTAGAGCGTGGTCCTTCCCCGGTCGAGCCGACCCACTCGTACTTCATGCGTCCGAATGAAATGAAATGAAATGATGTGGCACTTTGTATATTTCGTATATGGTTTAATTGTTTTGCTGTAACGGTGTGACCCATATACATCTACATTAATTTATCCTTAATAAATACACTCACCATACGAAACACAGCATTGTCAAGCTGCCATTTTACGCTGGTATTCTGTAAGAACGTGGTCCTTCCCCGGTTGAGCCAACCCATTCGTGCTACAACTATACTACTAACATAGCTGCAGCATGGCTCTACCACGTATAATCCTTGCGGTCCATGAGAAACCTTTGTTATTTTTTTTATACAAGAGTGGGCAAACGAATATGCGGCTCACCTGATAGTACCTAAGTTTCGACTACCGCCCGTAAATATCTGCAACACTAAGGGAATCACAGATGCGTTACCGGGCATTTTAATAAAATAGTAGGCTCTTTTCTTGAAATTCCCGAAGTCGTATCGGTCCGGAAAATGTCTGGTGGTAATCGATTCCACAAGGAAGTTGTGCGAGGAAGAAAAAAATCTTTTTGTAAATCGCACAGTGGTGGACCGCCTAACGGTCCAGATGGTATCGCCAGTTTTGTCGCGATGTGCGATGGTGAATTGAGCGGCTGCTATAAATCGGAACAATTCCGCATAACTCTCCGTGGAAGATGAGAAAAAGTAGGCAAAGAGATGCAACATCTCTTTGGAGTGCCAGTGAGTCAAGGCTATCAGAAAGAGCTCAGTCACTGATAATTCGAACAGTATTCCATGTGAGGCCGAACCTGCCCCTTGTAAAGTTACAGGCACTGTGCCGGCATAAAATGCTGTCACGCTCTGCTGACCATGCCAATTTTTTGAAAAGAAAACAGGCCATATTGACCTTCTCTTCCATGTACGTCATTCGATATGTCGACGCCGAGGATTCCGATACTGGCTGAGGTAACAAGGGAAGTGCCCTGAAACTGAGGAGATACGACAAAGGGGTTCGTTTTAGCGGTAATCGTGTGTCTTCTCGGGATTTTTTCGAACTAATGGTAAAGTAAAAAAATGAATTTCAATAAGAATTACTTGTAATCAATATTGAATAAAAATGATTCTATTCTATTGAACTGGACTAAATTTAGTCGCCTCCAATCCGAGACTTTATTCAACAAAGTCTCAACTTCAGACACAAGTTTGTTCCGGTACTTGGTGACGTTTTCCTGAGAAATACTGGCACGGCCGGTGTATAAAGCATCACCATTGAAATGCAGAAGTAACGGCGTTGGTGATAGCACGCAGAATTATGGAACAAAGCGTTAATACGCTTGTAATCCGAGATTGCAACGTCTACTACGACCTTTTTTTTGTCGTGGAGAAATCCTAATGGACACCTTCTGCTGCGGGGGCAACAGAAAAGTTATGTCGGAGTCCTACCTGTCAAAACCCCAAGGTGGTCACCATCAGCGTATATGAGGGGTCCCGAGATCCGTTCGGAACTCAACCGGGGCCTCTCTCGCTTTGCTTTATTAAAGTACGTCCCGCACCCTCGCAATGCTATCACGGTGCTCGAGACCATTTCCGAGTCACCGTTCTCCTCAAGTGTTAGGTACATCACTAGACGCCCGTAACCCCCGAGGCCCCGTTTCAGGTAGGGGAACACCACGTTTTTTTTTACGTGGTAGAGCCATGCTGCAGCTATATTACTGTTATAGTTGTAGCACGAATGCGTCGGCTCGACCGGGGAAGGACCACGCTCTCACAGAATGCGTAAAATAGCAGCTTAAAGCTGCTGTGTTTCGTATGGTGAATGTAGAGAACCGGAGACTCTTTTTACTGGAAACGAGGCATTCCAACTTACTCCTCACGGGTGACAACGCATCTGCATTTTAATTCGTAATGGAGGATAGATGTAGATGTCTATGGGCCACAGTAACCACTTATCATTAGGTGGACTGTGTGCTCGCTTGTCACCCCAATCCTATAAAAAAAAACCATCATCAACAAGGGGAGCAACGACTTGGCGATGTCGTCTTCGAGCGGGATCTGTCCTCTCCCAACAACGCTCAGCGACCTCCTTCTGGACCATAACGGATTCGCAGAAGGTTCGAGTCGGCACATCCGTGCGACAGCAACAGCTGCCGCTTGACTCTACCACTGTTAAAAACGCTTTTACGCCCCATCCGAACGCTGTCTGCACGCACTTTATAAATACTATCATATACAAGCCATTTCCCTATTTCATCAAGATTTCAGGTAGGTTGAATCTGAGAAACTTGAGGAGTTGCAAGATACATGTTTTCTAATATTATTGTTCTTCTAGGAAACTTCTCGTGTGACAACGCATTTAAAATAATTTAAAATTAAAAATTTTGTACAGCCGACTTCAATATAAGTTATTTAAGAATAACTTAAAAACTATTGGTCTGACCTTGATCAAATTCATATGGGACCACACGAGAAGTACCAGCTTTCAAATAAAAAAAGAATCATCGAAATCGGTTCACCCAGAAAAAAGTTCTGAGGTAACACACATAAAAAAAAAACGAAAAAAAAAACGAAAAAAAAAAAACATACAGTCGAATTGAGTACCGGCTCCTTTTTGGAAGTCGGCAGAAAAATAGATAGTATTAATCAAATATTGCTTTTATTTTATTTTTTTATAAAATCAGTAAATCAATAATAGTTCAAATAAATCTTAAGAATATACAAGACGATCTCAAAATTCTCACTTTACTTTTACGATTATGCAGCGACCGCTCCAAACGGACTCCAAATGACCGACCAGCGACCATTAGCTAGTAAACAAATTTTCGCCACATGCCCGAGCGCGAATCATAAGAGCCTCCCGCCCCCTTGTGTCTTTACTTTCTCGTACAGCCCATATCTTCAGCTCACTTTGCGGATGTAATTAAATAATCGATTTGAGTTGACAAAAACTTTAAAAATCTCTACAATGTACGGTAACAGGATACACGGATTAATAGATGGAGAAAAACATCGAATATAGACAGCGCTCTTATACGCCGAGAAGTAGCGACCTACAAATGTTATGCGGCAAGTCGTGGAACTAAAATATTCGCTGAAATTCATTGCAATGTGAAGTCTGTTGGCTGATCATCTGATCATGATATCAGGGTGGGTCTATCTTGCGAATAAGTCAGTCGGACGCAACATCATTGGTAATTTCACCCACGTAGGACGCAAGATTACTAATGAGATTTAGTAGATGTGTATATGTGTGTGTGTGTGTGTGTGTGTGTGTGTGCGTATGCGTGTGTGTGTGTGTGCACTACTCAATGTGGACCATACTTTTGGCTCAACTACTTGGTACCACTAACTGAATCAAAGTCACCAATAAGCTTTTAGCGCGTAATGTAGGCGTAAGAGAATCAATCACTTCATTTTGTATAATGGGTATGAAAATTGTAGGCACATTTGTGTTTGATATCATTAAATCTCATAGAATAGGCATTGCCCTAGTTGGAGTCTGCCTTCAATATGAGATTAAATGACGATGTCTATGGGCCACAGCATCAACTCATCATCAGGTGAACTATGCGTCCATTTTTCACTTTTCCTGTCTTTAACTTGGTGGTATATAACGGAAGCTCAGATCTATATAAACTCACGCTGAAAAATAAAAGATTTTTTGTTCTAATGTTTTAATTGATACATAGGTATACACAATTATTAACTATAGTAACCATACAGAACAATATTATTTAATTACACTTTATAAATAATATTCAATGCTTATCAAGTATTCTAAGTTAAAAATTTCATTATACATTTTTGTTATTGATTCTTACATTAATTTAATGTCATGACATATTGATATGAAAATTGTCTAAAAATGAGATAATGACATTTATTTATTAAAATATTGCAATGGCTTATATTTCCGACTAGATTATTATTATCAATACAATTACTACTATATTGTAAATTCATAAATTATGTAAGTGTCCGTATCTCACCCACAAAAATTTGAAAAACAGATTTTCTGCACTACATCAAACTATGCAAAATGTTACGTGTACATATCTTTCGATTTCGTAATTATCACCAACATAGTGAACTAGTTAAATGTACAATATAACCCATAATTATATGAGATATAGCAGGTTCTTGTTATTTATTCATTTTAACATCACACTTATAAAATTTTCTATTCTTTTTATTAAAAGAAATCATGACAAATATGCAGACTGCATTTAGGCATATCGTAAATATTTTCAAAAGGAATATTTAAAAACTACTAATATCTTGTTCTCAATACATTTGAAATCAACACACCTCCATATTATTGGTACATGGTAGCTTAGAAGTTAAATCCTGTAAACTTAATTATTCACTTCACAATGTGTAAATTTTAGTTTAGTCTAAAACATAATACACAAATGTCGACATTGTGCAGTTCCAGTTTAAACTCGAGATTGTGTCTGAATGTCGTACCGGCCTGCTTGCCATTTAACATAGTGCGCAAGCAACCCGGGGTCGATCCCCGCCGGCACCAATGAAATTGTGGCGCCACGCCGTGTGAGTCTTCCCACAAGGTTTCCCGCAGTAGGGACTTGATGAAATTGACTTAAATGTGCCAATTTTTAATAAAGATACTTTGACTTGGAAATTAATAATGGCAATTCTAAATGCTAATTTTAACACAGCAGTAAAGAACCATGTATTGGCGGTGTAAGAATATCCACTACCCAATATCCTCCCATGGGTGTCGGAAGAGGCGACAGAGGGAAACAAAAACCAGGAGATGGGCAACAGCATCTTCCTAATAACGACTAAAAAATAAAAAAACTGCGATTGCCAACCCGCTTGCCAATGGCAAATAAAAAAAAACCACTATGGCAAATATCCCTATGGGTCAATATATGGGGGAGGCGAATGTTCAGCAGTGCACTTTAATAAGCTGTAACGGAAGAAGATCACCTTGAGGTAACCTGTATGTCGGAGGAAAACAAATGTTTCGGAGACGTGAACTCCACCAAGACGCAATTACGCGCTAATTGTTTCATAACCATTTCAGAAATGAAAGGTGCCCGCCCAGCTGTGAAACGTACATATTGTGCATGTAACTTTATATATTATGTGTTTTTTTACTCTTTCAGAGGTAAGTATGTGACACCTTGGAATAAAATTATTAATTAATAAGATAATAAAAAACTAGTGCTTCAAAAAAGAAAATCCTCACACAAAACTACTTTTAAATCATGAAATAACTATACCTACATTCCAAGAATTACAAAACGAAACTATTGTGACACACAAAGCGGACACTAAACATAGGCAAGATATAATAATACTTATAAAGTTAATAAAAACGAGACAATCCAATACGTACAAAATAAAATATTAAATGCAAACCCTACATAATCTTTACAAAACTGTTAACATTAACTATGTGACAACACATTTTAATATGACACAAATTTGAACACAGATCTAAAATAAATTACACAAAAGCCGCGCAATTACTTCACCTTACTTGGTGACCAGTGAACACGGCACGGACACTATAATCTATGACGCATTGTAAAAACCGCACCTATACGTGTATATTTGATTTTTTGGTAGTAGTATATTTGATTGATTTATTTAATGACGTTTTATCAAGTTCTATGAATGTAGCATGTATTTGTAAATTTTTTGTTTTATTGTTAAGTACCAACGGACCTCGACACAGAATAATGGAACGCAAAGTTGTATAATATATCCTATATTAAACAACTTGGCGATTATTCTGGTAACTATTAAAATGCAGACCCGGAGTTAGAAGTTAGTAATGTGCCTATATAGTTTCGTAAAGAAACTACAAAGAAAGATTTCTGGTACTCAATAGATCTTTTTTTATCTACTCAAATAAATAAAATTGGAGTGTCTGTTTGTAACGTCAAAATAACAACTTTTCACTAAATGCATATGAAAGTATATATGGTACTTATAACAAAAACAAAATTAAAAAAAAATATTGTTTGTTCCGGCTAATCTCCGAAACGGCTGGACCGATTTTGATGGGACTTTCACTGGCAGACAGCTGATGTTATAAGGAGTAATTTAGGTTACATTTGTTTTAGAAAAAGAATTAGGGTTCGGCGCAAAAAAAAATTAAAAACCTAAATTACACGCGGGGGAAGTCGCGGGGAACAGCTAGTATAGAATAAGGGTGACAAACGAGCACACAGTCCACCTGATGGTAAGTGGATTCTGTGGTCCATGGAAATCTTCATCTATCCTCGGTTAAGAATCAACATGCAGATGCATTAATCACCTCTGAGGACTAAGATGGAATGAGTCGTTACCTGTAAGAAAGGATCTCTGGTTCTCTACACTCAGCATGCGAAACAACGCAGCAATAAGCTGCTATTTATTTTACGCTGGTATTCCGTGAGAGCGTGGTCTCTCACCGGTCGAGTTGACCTGCAGCATGGCTCTACCACGTCAACACGTAAAACAGCAAAAACATAATGGAATGTTTCGTCGAGTGCAGAAAACGTGTGAATATTGTAAATTTTAAGAATCGTTTGCATAGAGCGAATCCGTGATATGATTTCTTGGCGTGATTTAGGAGCAAGTATATAAATGGACGAAGTTATTAAAGTACTAGTATTTCATACATAAATATATTATGGCAGTTTTTCTAGTGAATCAACTAATTACAATTACCTTGATAAATTTTCATATTAACTAAAATATTTTTCTTGTGACTGTGATTTAGTACACAATGAAAATTTTACATGGAATTTCTGAAGAAGTCAACATTACCCTTTAATACATTTAAGGTATAAAACATGAAGATATAGCGTATGCATCGGATTGGTAAGAACAAAATCTAACTTCAAGAGTTCCCGCGGATCACTACTTACACTTTTAATAACAATAAAATTTTGTGCACTTGCTGTGAGGTTGTTTACTATAAAAATATATCGAAAATCGCAACGTAAATATATTTAAAGAGTTGCGTGCTGCAACACTATCTACATACTAGTTGCAAATATTTACAAAATATATAATTATTTACGTAGTCATGTCATTTGTTTATGTACTCATGTCCTCTTGGTGAATTTTAAAAAATTGCTCTTGCATAAAAGATTTGAAAAAATCTCACATTAATTTGAAATACTGTAAAATACTTTGAAACTTGTTTTAAACCCATACTCCATGAGGATTTTTATTGGTGGGAGCAGCATTTTCCAATTGTCTCGGAGAACCAATTATTCTGCGGGTATTTCCAGCCTTACATAATCCTGAAAATAATCGTATATATTTTTCTCTTTATCCAAGTTGCCATTCATCTCACGATTCAGTATATTAAAAGAAATGTATAATGAATATAAGCCTGTAGTGGCAGTGTCTCCACTACCCTAAATCGTCCCATGGGTGTCGTAAGAGGCGACAAAGGGATACTGGAACAGGAGATGGGCAGCATCTTCTTAAAAACAACTTAAAATAATATAAAACTGCGGTTGCCAACTCGCCTGCCAAGCGTGGGGACTACGAAAAAAGTCCAAATCTTTGAGGTCTGCATTCAGCGGTGGATTTTTGTAGGCTGTTATGAATGTGTAATAAATGATAGTGGTGAGAACTTATTACCCAATCTCGTCCTATGGATGCCTGAAATTTCAACTAAGAAAAATGCTAGTGAGATAGATCTGGAGAGACAAACCATTCTGTATACTATTTCAGATTATAAACTACACAAAAGGCGAGCTTTATGCTATATGACATTCTCTACCAACTAACCTTGGGTAGGACAGAGAGTGAGTTATGGGCAGTTAAGTTGTCATGATCAAATTCAATTCAAATATATACATGCACATATATATACCGCCCCTATCGTGACAACTAGAAAATAAAAAACTGCGGTAGCAACCTGCCTGCCAAGTGCGGCAATTATAGCAAATATTCCTATATAAAAAAACTAGATACACAATCCCATGCAAGTTCTCTAAAAACTGTCGTCAATTATTGTTTTGACGTAATTCTAGTTGAAATAAAAATGCATTAATGTAAATACAACCTTAAATGCATTGCATAAAGTTGTATTCATAAAGGTACGTACAAATTAAAAACGCACCCAAATGTTCGAGTGTGCGCTCATTCGTTAAGGACATTTTTGTCACCGATTGTGTATCTAGTTTTTATTAGTGATCGATCGATAGTCGTAATGAACAATGGATTACCAAAATACACACAGTAAAAGTTAACAATTAATGAATTAGAGCCATCACAATAAAAATAACAGTCATACCATCCAAGGGATGCCGCAATTCATCCACACTGCCTGTGAGACTCTGGAGGTTGGCTTCCTTCATCTCTTGAACCAAGCGCTCCACTTGACGCTTCTTCTCCATAATGGCATTTTCTAATACTCCTACCTAAAATACAAAATAACCCAGCTGTAATCTAACTAATGAACAATATTTTTATATACAAAAACATAATATATAGATAGATAGAGTAGAATAATGTTTGCATGTGTGTTATGTAATGTTTATATGTATTCATTTATATATATATCTAATATATAAAATTCCCGTGTCGCGGTGTTTGTTACCAAACTCCACCGAAACGGCTGAACCGATTTGTATGAAATTTTGTGTGAATATCGGGTAGGTCTGAGAATCGGCCCACGGAATATAAAAAACAAGAGGAAGCCCAAAGTGGGCGGGGCGGACGTGTCACAATTAGTGACAGTAGAGCGTAATAGACCGTCAGTCGCAAATTGTTGCGAGCTGACGGGTCGTTCCTTGAGTGATATATGCGAAAATATGCTGTTTTGAGCAATTTAGGAGTGTAAAAACGAAAGTAAAAAATAAAAATATTTCAAATAGAGGTGTTTTCTAACAAAGGCACGTGTAATTTTTTAATTTTGTGGATAGAATCTTAACTAAACATGGACAAAATATCAAATTGTCTTTATTACAAATAATATTCAACCTTATTTCGTTAAGATAAGGTCCAGCTGTAAACACGTTTTGAATAAAATAGCTGCGATAGTGTTGTAACAACGCCGACATTAAAGTTTTCGATAAAATGTTATCTCAGTCCTGTTAATTCACTAACATATTAATGTAAATTTGCAAATACTGGAAGTCTTTGAAAATATACGAAATTGTAGGGTAAAGGCTACAAATGAACATTTGTTAGGGTTGCTAAGCCAGAGAAATAAGTAAGTAGTTTAGTAGTTCTCACGACTTTTGGAAAAAAACTGAAATAAAAGTGATCTTAATATCATGATCTACATTGGTAACCGAATTCATTATCATCTAAAATTTTATATTAAAGTGTGGACATGATAATTTTTAAACAAATATGTGTTATTTCGATGAGAATAAACAATTGCTAAATTATTGTTTTTTTTATTATTCTCCTTGTTTCAATATCAAAAATGATAATTTAGCTTATTGTAAATAAATTTCCATTAAATACAATTAATTATATGCCGGCTATATGAATCACAGGGATATACGTGGTACATTATGGTAATATCCATTAAATTTTGCTATTTTACTCATTTTATCATATATATTTTTTTTTTCAATTTAGTTTCTTCAGTCAATTCATATACATGATAATAATCATAATTATACTGGATATCGATATACGCCAGATCATGTTCAGGCAGAGTAACTACATCACTAACTTCATTCACGTGGCAGTACAGGTTAGCTAGGGCATGAGTAGGGCAATGTCAACGTTATATCTTTTGTCATTATGTCTCAAATAGCGTGAATTTATTATTGCGATATCTAACGTTAAGAAGCTAAGTTTGCTCACTAATTATAAAAACTTCGTTGATGAAAAGGAATATAATCTCTATTCTTAAGGACTTATTGTTCATACTCCAATGAATGGTGAGTAACATAATGCCTTTCTCTTTTATTTTTAAATAACCAATCACGCGAAAATTATTGAAATGGTACACAATTGTTGATACACATTTCTTTCTTGTGCATGTGTGAGTTTGGCGACAGTGGTTTCGCTACAAATTATGCGTTTTGCTACTTCCTCTTGTTTTTTATATTCCGTGGAATCGGCCAACGTCTATTTTTCAAACCCCTAAATGATACGGGTGACCCACCCCTAAATATTTTTTTAATTTTTTGACAAATTTTTTTATTTTATTTTTTAGTATTGCAAAATACATAAAACTTCAAATTTTCACCCTTCTACGATCAACCTCTTTTTTTAAAATAGGTTTAATATTTTAAAAAAAGTTATATATTATTTCCTACAAATAATGTATATTATGGCAAAACAACGTTTGCGGGGGTCAGCTAGTATATGTATATATATATGCTTATATATGTATGTATTTATATATACGTGAATATAAAATGTCTGTACTTCTGGTTACACCTACCTCTTTTATCTCTGCACTATTCTAAGGTAGCCTCAGGCATTAAGTTCGCCTACATACATTAAATGTGTATATGAAGTTAAATAAATAAATAAAATAATTTTACTCAATATGCATTACAAGAATACTTAATGAAATTGTTTTTACTTTTTGGTTCAGAAAAGACTCCTGCGCTATGAGGAAACCCAGCGAGGCGTTAAAAATATATTTATAATTTATGTAAAATTAAATATGAAAATAATTAGAAACAGCATTGTAGCGACCACATTTGCTCATTATATTTTAACTTGCAAATCCTTTCGGCAGTTTCCATCTGCCATATTTATTTTATGATTTTTATTAGAACATTGCTGATATTTGCTTTTTCTGGAAATGAAACATTCCAATTAGGTCCTCAGGGGTGACAAAGCATCTCTAATTTCTTATTCTTAATCCAGAATGAACTCTCATACTGTGTACTGTGTGCTTGTTTCTCACACTTATTCTATAAGAAAAATGCTTACATAATAATATTATAGATGCGATGTCAGATATTCGTCGCGCTGTTATAATAAATCAGCTGTCATCATAGAGAGAGATATCATTTGTCAAAATTCGACGGCTAGCTTAGAAGTTACGGGCAAGCATAGAAACGTACATAAATACATACATACCATACCAGACAAAAAAGTTACCATATTTTTGATCAAAGCAGCCATCAAGTAAAGTGTACATTTAGATATATAATAAACCTAGCAAGCTAACAGCATAGCAAAGTGGCGAAGCAATCAGCTTTGTAGCGGTTTCTAACGGTTGCCATTGAGCAATCAGTTTCAAAATAGGAGGTTCAGATGCCTGGGTAATCAGTAATCGATTGCTGAAAACAGAATTTGAAAATTCAAAACCGTTCTCGAGATAATCGTGGGACAGACGGACAGACGGACAGACATCGTGAAATCAATAAGTGACTTCGCAAGCTTCGCCACTTAATAATGAAAATAAGCAATCTTACAAAAAATGTCATCACAGCATCAATGAGAATGGATTAATTATTATGAAGAAATATATGAAATGCTATTAATTTAAAATATCATAAACACCTACCTCTCTCTTTAGGTTTTCGGCCGTTAGATGATTAATTTCGGTGGCATGCTTCGCTTGTTGTATCTGAGATTGCAGATTCTCCATTTCAGCCAGCATTGAACGCTCCAACGCTTGTCTGAAATACAAATTAATTATTTTACAAATGAATTATTTTTCATTAACTATCATCATTACAGCCGATGAAAGTCCACTGCTGAATGTAGGCCTTCCCCTTAGATTGCATCCTTGAGGAGGCTATTTGTCATTGTTTCCCAAGCTTGGCAGGTGGGTTGGCAACCGCAAACATTTATTTTTTTAAACAAGCAAGTTGTTATCAGGAAGATGCTGCTGCCCATCTCCTGTTTCATTTTCCCTATGTCGCCTCTTACGACACCCATGGGATGATATGGAGTTGTGGATTCTCTTACTCTTACTTAAATACATCTATAAGTTAGTACTTCACCACAGTGGATTTAGTGTGGTGACAGATTCTCTGACGCCGTCACCATACAGCGAAAATAAAATAAGTCATACACGCACAAATGAACCTGTTAAGTGCGGCAACTAGTCATTATCTTATGGGACAGGCCTGTTCAGTAGTGGTCTTTTAATAGGCTGTAATGACAATGATGAATGATGACATACACAGAAACATATTATGTAATCTCAAACATGTTTCACAGTCAAATATATAAACACACTACCTAGCTGGGAAGACATTGTTCTGCTCTATCCAGTAAGTGGCGAGATGAGAATAATTTATTTATTATTTTTTAACCATAAACCAACATATTATGAATATGAGCCATTTTGGTTCATAAATACAGAATTTATTAATAACTTGACAACAGAGCCACCTATCGGACGCTAGCAGAGCTATGAACCATCATGTCGACAAAAAAATATACATATAGTGTGAATATAACCTTAATCAATTAAATTGTTCAAAAGCTACATGATCACTAAGACTAAGACACTAAGACACACTCACGATTATATATACAGGGTTATTTTTCGAACAGTAGCCAAATGTTAAACTTGAGTACAAATATACATATATAAATATTGATACACCATTATTGCAGCTTTTGAAAGTACGAGTACATAAGGCTTCTACTTTTATTTGTAATTATCCCAAATTGAATGTGATTTATGGGCAACGTTTTGCCTACCGATCGACCCTTACGAATGTGTGTGTGCGCAGTAAAACAATGCATTACCACACATTTTGGATTTAAAAGATAAAAAGGACAGAATGTTTGAAATTTTTTTTAATTAATTTTTCTTAACCATTTGCCTATATTACTTATTTTGTACCTTCTCTGCAAATTTGTCGCGTTATTGAAATTTAAAAAAAAATACTAGTAATGCTTTTAAACATTACTAATATTCCCTTCAACCACTTCTGGTAAGCTTAAAATGCTTGTGTTAGACGTGGTTCACGACAGTAGTCGTATGGTGAATTCGAACCCACAACCTTTCGAGTTCGCGGTCCGCACCTTGCCATTAGGCTACCGACGCTTCATCAAAATAACCCTGTATAAAAGATAAATTAATCTAAAACACATCTAGAACACATACCTATTTTCTTGCTGACGACTGCTAATAAGCCTCTGCTCATTGTGAATGTCCTCCATCAACTTTCGAATCTTGTTTTTACATTGTAATAACTCTGTTTCACAATTGGCTAATTTGGATCGCACTAACACAATCTCTGACTTTATTGTCTTTTCATTTTGTTTCACTATTTCACTCTCCTCTTCCACGTAGTTAAGTGCTTGCACCTAATAAATTGAACGAATTATTATATACCAATCATAATTTTGTAAACCATTCAAATAAAATAAGCAAAAAGTGTAACTTAAACAAAATACATTATTCTTCAGAACAACTAAGGAACATATACAGAGCACTTTGTATACAATTCAAGTGACACTGAAATTGAACTAAAACCA